TGAGGGCTAGAAGACTCCTAGAAAAATGACAGGAATAGCAGCAGTGACAGAAATAGCAGAATAGATTGTTGCAGAATCCAACTCTAACATCTGACACTCAGAAAATTTCAAATTTTAAGCTTAATTTTTTGGTGATAATCTTCTATTTCACATAATGTAAAAGAAAGATTTCAATCTCTGCTTTTTCTTTATGTTTGTGTGTCTGACTTTATCTTTTCCAGTAAAAGAGATGACCTGTCATCTGTGTACCCAGGTCCATAATTTAAATTTACAGTCTTTAAATTCTGAAAGCTTGGAGATCTTGAAATTTAGTATTTTGCAATTACACTTAACACATTAGCCCATGCCTGCAAAACAAATAAAAAGTATTTATTTGACAGTGTATTGACAATGAAATGCAAGAAATTGCATAAGGTATGTGAATCAATCTACCTAAATATTTACTGCTTTAATGAACTCTGAATCTATGGGTGTGCATATTGAAATGAGGCAATTATTTTAAATAGCACCTATGTATTTTTAGCTAAAGAGACTGTGAAATTACATTTCCTTAAATCAACCCGAGGTTTGTTTGTATGGGTTGAGAGCACACCACAGGCTGCTGCAGGGCTGGGGCAGCAGTAAGGAAGCTAATACCAGTCTTGTTTCCACTCTGCTCTTGTGGGGTGGGGAAGGTAGAGAGATGAATTTCACACCAGTGTGATTGGAGTGTTTTGTAAAGTGGATTATTTGAATTCCAGTCCCTGCAGTTTCTGAAAGTAGCCTGCACCACAGAAAAGTAGGCTGAGAGGGACCTCTGGAGGTCTTCTAGTCCAACTTCCTGCTCAAACCAGTGCTGACTGCTAAGGTGAATAAGATTGTCCAGGCACTTGGGTTAAACAAGTTTTGAAAATCAACAAGGATGGATATTCCACAGCCTCTCTTATTTTTATTGTGAAGTATATTTCTTTATGGCTGACTGGAAATTCCTTTACTGCAATTTCAGATTACTGTCTCCTGTCCTTCCACGGTGCACCTTTGGAAAAGGTGTTCTCTAATCCCCTCTCTAGGCACAAAAGGCAGCAGTTAGCTCTCCCCTTTTGCAAGCATAGAACAAGTCTGTTCCTCCACTGGATTTTCCCATTTGAAATATATTTCTTATGTTGTTTGTGGAGCTCAAAAGTAGTCTTGGTGTTCTGGAAGTTTCCATGTGATGCTGAGTAGAAAGAAATAAGCACTTTGCCTGCTGGCTAAGTTGCTAGTGCAGCTGGGTATGTGGTTTGTCTGCATTGCTGCAAGGAGATACTGCTGACTCATGTTCAGCTTCTCCTTCAGATCATTTCCTACAGAGCAGCAATACAGACAGACAGTTCCCAGCCTATCGGAATGCACGAGCTTATTCCCTCCCACATACAGGGCTGTATTTGTCTCAGATACAAGAAAACTTCTGGTTATTTTGGCTTAAGTCGATTCACAGTTAAATTGCCATCTTTTTTGAGAAAGAAAAAAAACACATCAAAACTTCAGCTGACCTAATTACAAATATTAATTTACTCTCTATTGAGCATTTTTCACTTTTTAGAATTACACCATAGCGAAGAAATTTTTATGCAAAAAGGGCATTAACAGCTGTTGATTTGGGCTATATGGCCAGGCAATAAAAAGGGTAGTTGGTTCAACTTTGTACAGCAAGCAGACTATAAATATTCCATCCTCTGCACTGCTTGGGGGGAAATGTGCCATGGCTCAGGCATGCCATTTAATGTAAATAATTAATTCTTCCGAAGAGTTGTTACAGGTTTCCTAAAATTAATACACTGTAGCACTATTAGAAGGGCTTAATTCATTTAGTCACTGTTGCCACAGTTAGCAGGGAAAGAACATCAATATCAATATGGATTTTTTTCAACTCTGTAATCTCAGATGGCTGCTTCAAATGCCGGTGATAGCCAGATGAAAGCATGTACGTTCTGGCACCTCCTCTGCTTACAGACAAGGCTTCTTCCTTCTTTTGTGTTTCTTAGCAGATTCCTGGTATGCATCCTCCTAGACAGCATCAGTAGAAAGTGGTGGTGCTTGGGATTCTTACTAATGTTGTTATCCAATAATTGAAATAGGGATTGAAATTCCACTATATGTGGATTTTTTTAATATTATTTATCTGTATCCATTTATATCCAGTGAATTTATCACAACTGGACTGACCTATCCTTTGATTTCAATTAATACAAGGGCATTTGTACTTTGAGATAAGTACATGCTAAAAGATAGATGGAAAAAACCTAAGTGAAGGTATGACAGTTTTTCACCCAGCTATTTAAAAATTGATGAGGACTAGATTCTGCCCTGGTTATGATCTTGCTGTATGATAAATTCAAGAAGGTCACAAGGCTTTCCTTTGTGTGTGTTGGGGGGAAGTTGTTTTCACACAGAACATTACTCCTGAAAGAAATAAGCTCTCCATTTATACATATAGAGGAGTTCTTGAGTCTTCCAGGAAATTTGTTTGAAAACTATTTACAGTATTAGTATGCAAATTATATACCACATGCTAAATGGGATTCTTGCAGCAGAGCACTCTGACAGGCATCTCACTATTTGAACTATGGTAGTACAGTTAAAAAAACAACACAAAAACACAGCTGGATATAATTGTATTCAAACACATACTTATTATGTTAATGAGGGCATACAAATAAAATTCAATGTTGTCCAGCAAAGGTTTTCCCAAAAAGACTGAGTTATTTTAGCAAAATGTTCATATAATGCAGCTTTTTGTGTTTATTGTAATTGAAAATATGTTTGATATTTATTCCTAAACATTGACAAATGAAATTTAGCAGCATTAGAAATACAATAAAACCCATCTTGTATCAAGTATAATTTAATAAATATGCTTCAGCTGAGAAAAAATTTGTCCCAATCTACATTCAGTACTTCCAGTCATATAATTTAAATGAAGTTATGAGAACGGTGTTGTATAGAGATAGCGATACATGTCTTTAAGCTCCTATTGTTATCCCAGGTTGTCAGAGTAGTTGATGCACCCTTTAGCCACCTGCCCTTCTGCACTGGAGTTTCCTGATGCTTCCCTGCCTCCACCTTCCTGGGGCTGCTGTCCTGTCAGCTTCTCTTCAGTCCCACCTTGGTCCAGCTTCTCACCCCACAGCCTCTCCTGCGTGCCCCCCACCCGAGCAACTTCACTTCAGCGTAAGAGGTTTTAAACAGCCAGGTGTCAGTAAGAATCCACTAAGTGCTGTAGAAGTTCAGGACTGGGTTGGGCCTCTTTGCAACCAGCAAAAGCTTTGCCATTGTGTCATTTCTAAGAGTGTCCCAGAATTTCTTGTCCCCCTGGCATCAATCTGCACAATTCTGGCATGTAAGTTACGCAGGCAAGTCGCAGGATCTGTCCGTACCAATTTACTGCTGGTGGGCTTGAAATCTTTAAAAATAAGATGCTTTAGATGAGGTTTATGCCTTTTGTTCCTCCCCTTTCCATTTTTAGGACATGCTTTTAACAAACCATAACTGAAAACTGAACAAATAACAGTTTGTGCCTTATGTAAGTGTGCCTGCTATTTCAATTGTTACATTCAAAGGCTGTAGATGTTGTTAAAGCCCCTGCCTTCTTCACTGCCAGCTGCTGCTGTAATCCTAAAGTAGATGCACTTGTTCTTTTTAAACTTTATATCTCAGTATACTACCCTGGGAAATTGCTTTCTACTTTTAAATTGACCATCATGCAGAACTTTGTATTTTTCAACCTTTTTCTTTGAGATTTGCAAGTTATTTCTGAGTTCAAAACCTCACATTTTTGTTCAGAAGCACAAAAGATACCATCCCAATTGTGTGTGTCAGATGCAGTCTTAAGCATATTGTCTACTTTCTATCATTAGCAATGAGGAACTGCTTCTACTTCAAATGTTATGCAATCAAATACACACTAATTTATTACTTTAAAATAGAAACTTATTTATTTATTTTTAAAAAGCATATTAGATTAAAAAAAAATCAATCTGTTGCTTAGAATATTTTCCAGATGCAAAGTACTATTGCTCTCTATAATGAAAGCTATTTTTTTATTAGCTATGTAAGAAATTCTTAGGCTATAGAAGAAATTTTTAAAATTTTGTCATGTTAAATATACAGTCACATCAAGTGTTTTCCATTATGATAAGAAGACAGAGGTTGAATCATTAGATCAATGATAAGTCCAGTTTGGCTGTTGGGCAAGTAAACTCAATATCTAGCCACTTCCATTAAAAAAATCCCAACCTACTTTCACTAAAAATCTGCTCCCACTAGAGAGCAGATTTTGTCGTTTCCACTCAGTGTCAAATGTAATCCCTCTAAAATCAATAGATAAAACTCACCTGAAAGCAAAACACTTAATATTATTTGTTTCCAGGAATGGGTAAAAAGCAGATTTACACATAGATTTTGTATAGAGGTAAGTGTCAAAGGAAGTTGAATTAGGAGAAACTAGAAACTATTTGTGTGCTTTGGGAGGCTACAGAGTTCTAAGAATGAACCATTGAAACCCAAATCTGTTGTGTTGGGAGTAATTTTGTTTAGACTGTCAATCTTCTGGTCAGGCTGCACAAGCCTGTTTTCTTGTTTTGGTTTGGGTGTTTTTTCCTTTCTTTTCTGAAGAAACAAAACCATTTTTGGTACTTTTTTCTTTTATTTATTTAGTTCTAAAGGGAGATTCTCATTAAAAATTTAAAACCACATACTTCTGAAGTGAGCCTGAGGTTCACAGCTGAGGTGAATATTGCATAATTCTGTTTATTTTGTCTCATTAAGTCAACCATGCTTGTTAGAGGGATAGCTAGAATGTAATGAATTACTTCCTTGGCAAAACCAAAGCAGAAACTGACTGGTTTCTATTATCTTAGCAATTTATTTTATTTCAATTTCATGGTGTGGAATTATTTTTCAGTCTTGCACACTGAAGAGGAGTAGCTCAGAGTTCCTTCACAGATTTAGACTTTTGCTTTTCTTTCTATTTCTTTTAATAGCCTGGCTGTGTAAACACTACTGAAGTGGATATAAAAAAGTCTTCAAGAATGAGAAATCCACATAAAACAAGAAAGGTAAGTATGGTTATTATAGCAAAAGCAGGAGGTGGAGGAAATTTATAGAATGAATTTCCATAATTTCTTAAAGCACTTTTTTCTTACAGCTGCAAGGAACAAATGCATGAACGTATGTTAATATTTCATAAGCTTTTAGTTGAATTAGTATTAACAAATTCGCTAATGCTAATTGAATGCTATCACATAAGATTCTTGGAGAAATACAAAGAGATTTTGAAGATAAAATTCATTTTTGCATGCTTTATTCATGTTGTTTAGGAGATTGAATCAAGCATATAAAAATGTTTCTGTCAGTAATTAAGGAAAAACAAAATTAAAATTCAGAGTAAACTCTAACAGCAGTTTTTGTCCTGGTCTTAATGAAAAGAGTGTCTCTATTTTACAGTTATGCCCCAAATGGATGACTGGAAATTATGGAAGAAATTAGCTCTATCTAAACTAGGTTGTAATTAGAGTATAACTTCTCTAGGAATGTACAGATGGATTGGCTCAACACTTTTAAATCCCTTGCAACATAATCATGTAGACTGACTACCACTTTAAAGTACTTCCTTTGAGGCGCATTTTCATGTTGACCCATAGGAACGTATGTTTTAAGAAGGAAAGTGGATTTAGAGAAAGTTTTAGCTTGGCTTATTTATGGTAGTGAAAAGTGTAGATTAATGTAATTTACTAGACAGAAATTGCAACTTTGGAAGTCATCCAAATAATCTGTGTGTCAGTGTACCTCTCAGGATATTCCACCTACCAGTGGTCTCCACTTACTGTAATAGCATCTCTCAGTGTCATTCCCCATGTTTACTATGATACTAAAATAGAGACTTAATAAAAGTAGATCCTTTGTTGTGTGGCTTTATGGAATTGTGGGAGTTTGGGAGTTTTTATTTTACACTCCAGCGGAGAAGCACGACTTAATTAGAGTGCATGGGTTATTGCAGTTTCTTTAGGAAAAGATGATCTTGGCTAACTCGTTGAGCACAGTTACTATGAGTGTGTGTAGAAAGCATTGTCTGAAAGCAGCTGTCATTGTTCCATATTGTTTTGCATAGTCTGTCTATGGCTTACAAAACGACATTCGAAGTCACAGCCCTACGCACACGCCAGTGCCTGAGACTAAGCCACCCACAGAAGATGAACTACACCAAGAGGTTTGGAACTTAACTACAAACCTGTACTTTTAAATGAACTTTTTAGGAAATAACTTTTTAGGTGTACACCCAAAAATTATTGTAACTGGGAAGTTGTTCAAAACATCTGTTGCAAACATTTCATAAACCTTTTCCTCATCTCAAGAGATATGGATTTGGGCATGTAACTTCATCAAAATTAATGAGACAAAACCTGAACTTTTTGTATCATGCATTAAACACCTATAGGCAGTGGGAGGTAGCCCATTGAGTGGGTTCTTCATATAATAAGCCCTTTAGCCCCTTCAGCTGCAGACAGCTTGCTCTTATTTCAACACAAATTTGAGGTTTGGGGGCATACTTACTACTCCATGTAGGGTCACACATGTATCTACTGTTAAAACTTTGTTACTCTTTGTGAGATGTTAGAGTCTGGAGAAGTTAAATGTCTGAAGAAGTATTAGTTCTCCTCAAAAATCTAAAAAAAGGCTAATTGGATTTCTGTTGATGAACCTTTTGGGAAAATTATGTTATGTTGGGCACATTTTTTGTCTCTGTATGATCTTTTCTATTTAATGGAAACTTCCATTTATTTTAGAGCTATACTGGTGAAATGTTGTTTTAATTCAGATATATTTCTCTTCTGTGCCCTAGGATAAATTAAGGTACAATTACAGCTCTAATGAAAAAAGTTACAGAAATAGAGTCAAGCAATAAATTACATATAAAACTCTTTGTCTTCCTTTCTTGCAGATTAAGCACTGGCAAATGCAATTAGACAGACATAGATTAAAAATGTCAAAAGTTGCAGAGAGGTATGTATATTGTCACATTTTCTATTTTTTTCAATTAGAATGATATCTACTGGGGAAAATGTCGGTATAAAATAGCTTCAAAGAGCTATTCACAGCAAATAGCTCTTCAAAGAGAGACATGGGAGCTCAGATGTCACAGAAATAACTGATGAGAGTTTACTTTAAGTGGAGAAGTATGAAGTTCTTTTCAGTGATAAAAATATTCCAGATATTCCATGATACATTTCTGATAAACCCAAGTCACTGAAAGAGCCTCTGCCCAAGTGATCACAATTTTCACCTTTCATTGGCAGAGAGGCTAAATGAGAATAGGTTTGGGGTTATTGTTTTGATATTTCAAGAAGATTGAATTCATTCACTGATGAAGCAAGGAAACTGGCTGGTGTGGAGCTCAGTCAGTGCTTGAACAATGTGAGTTTGGGCTCAGATTGGGTCAGAGATATAACACTGATAGGAATCTGTCTCCAAATAAGACCAAAATTTTTCAGGAAGGGCCTAGAAAGCAAATCAAACAAAAAACCCAACATTACGGAAAATTGAGCTGCATAGGGCTTAGTAAAGAAAATAAGGCCAGATACAAATTGCTCTTCATCTTCTCAATAAATATTTGTGTGTATATATCTGCTTAGATGTGTGTATGTGTGCACACATGTGCAAATACATATAAATATTTATTTATAAAGAGAGCAGGTTAAGATTTTTTTTGTTTGCTGAACAGTAGACATATAATTTACACTAAATACAATAGGAATTGAAAAGAAAGAATAGTTGTCCTCACTTGGCAATAATTTTACAAAAATTATGAGGCCAAAGGGAAGCAAGCATAAGTAAGGACAATGGAGATGTAAATTACAGAACACAAGCAAAGTTTTAGTGTGAGCAACTGAGTCAGACCAATTCCTGAATATTAAAAAAAATGTGGAAAAGAAGTATTTATTTTTGAAAAAGCAAACCTGGGAATATTGTCTTTTGATTAGGAAATAATAAAAATATTAATTATATTTAAGAAAAAATAAGAGGAGTACTAGCAGCTGCAGGGCTAATAAATATAACCTGCGTAACATGCAGTGTTTTAGAACAGATTTTAAGGAAACCGATGATTAAAACCACAGGGATATAAAACATGTTCCTTTATGAAAAAAAATGTGCATGGAAGAAGCTTTATGATCTAATTCATTAATGCCTAAAGGAACCTTAAATGGAGCTATGTGGAAGTATTAGGGAAGCTTATTTTATTTCTACTCTTGGTAGACCTGAGCCACCCCTCCGTCTTCAATGGTCCACTTTCAAACAGCTTGTGCAAACCTATTTCACTCTGAGCTTGTAGCTGCCTTCTGGGTGTGTGCACACACAATTACCATGGTTCAGTTGATGCAAGGTAACTTGTTAACCAGGGTAACATGATCAGGTTTCTTTTCTTCCTGACATGACAATGTTTGATGCTTTTGTTTTCCTAGTCTATTAGCTTATACAGAGCAGTATTTGGAATATGATCCTTTTCTTGTGCCCCCTGATCCCTCAAACCCTTGGATATCAGATGACACCACTTTCTGGGAACTGGAGGCAAGGTATATAATTTTATTTCTTCTTTGGAAGTAAGGGAGTATAACATGTTTTTCTGAAAAGGTGAAGATTTCAGAAAGAGGTACTGCAGGAAAATACTGAGGCAGAAGGGCAATGCAGTACCCTTTTGGTCTTTCTAAAGTTTTACAGTTTTGTAAGATGGGAAGTCCAACAGATTAATAAATCTGTGTGAAATGTTACAGTAACCAATTTCCAGGCTTCTAGTGTGGTGAAAAAAAAGGTTTTTTAATTCTGATAACATTCCTAGTTGGAAATCTTTATTCTTCTATGTATTACCTTCATGTTAGCAGTCTGTTTGCTCATTGCTGAACATTGCACAGTGAGAAAAAAGTGAGAAATCCATGGAACTTTAGGAGTTAATCTAAATTATGATTAATCATTTAATTAATTGTTAGACTGTTAGAATACTGAGGTATTGCCCAATTCGGGTTCTGTTGTTTTTTCTTCTGTAGCAAAGAGCCAGGACAGCAGAGAGTGAAACGATGGGGATTTGGCATGGATGAAGCTTTGAAAGACCCTGTGGGAAGAGAGCAGTTTCTGAAATTCTTGGAGTCAGAATTCAGTTCAGAAAATTTAAGGTAAAAGAGAGCTACATTATTGTATAATAGCTTGTAAGTTATATTGGGTTTTTTCTTTGTTTTTTTTGCTCCTGATACTTTACAATTTTTGACCCCTTTAAAAATTTTCCTCACCTTTCAGAATTAATTCATGCAGATTGCTTCCCACTTTCATGTACAGGATGAGAGAAATATTAACATAGTTAACAGAGACTCACATGAAGCTTATTTTTCCATTCATATTCAAATTTTGGTCAAACTACTTATGTAAGAGCTTTTCTCTCAGCTTGTCTTTTAAACAGGTATAAAACTGACTCATTCAAAGCCTGTTCAATATATTAAATCAAATATTATGAGAAGAGTAAAATAAAGATAAGTAAGTTTAGAAATAAATAAAGGACCTAAAAGTAAAATCTACAGACTTTCATCAGGTTTCATCATTGGTTTCTGGGGATCATTTTGAAAATCTCTGCCAATATTCTAGTACTTGTGCATGTGACACAGCTGAAGTTGGGTGATATCTATCTCTCAAATTCCTCACTAAATGTAAAATGGAAAAGTGTTCCTAGAGTATGAAGCATGTAGGGCATGTTTTTGAAAGTGTATTTACAGAATTACTTTTAAGTGAGGGGAAAAATTATTTTTTAAAAATTATGGTCCATCCATTGGTTAATAGCATGTTTTGTTTTGCTGTTCTAAGAAAGTCATATTTCAGTAAGAGTTATTTCAGAGAGATTAATAACAGCCCTTCTATAGACAGACAAATTCAGCTGAGCATAGTACAAAAATATAGGCAACATATTTTTCTCTTAATTCCACCTTCTTGTCAGATGTCATACATATCACTTTCCATTCTCCAATAACATAAGTAGTATAAATCCTATTTACATTTATGTTCTAGAACTCAGAATAATCCTAACCTACTTTTTTCCTATGCCAATTCTCACTCTAAAGTGGTGCAGCACAGCTATTCATACTAAAATTATGCTTTTGTAGCATCTTACAAGCAGCATTTAATATTTATGGTATTGATTTATAAATGCTGATTAATTGCACAGATCTTCTTGTTGTTAATTTAAATTTGTCAGCAGAATAATTGGAGTTGGAGTTCTTTAAGTTGCTGACCGTGTTCATATTCAAGCATTAATTTTGCATCACAAATACAGCCTGACCTGTATGTGTATGTTGATGACTTAATTTGTCACAGATGCAGATTTTTCTTACTAAACACTCCAGTTGGTAAAATGAATTTTTAAAAATCAGAATAATACCAAGAAAAGGAAAAGTATTTTTTAAAAAATTATTATTTAAAGAGCATCCTGGTAATTTATTATGGAGAGCAGCTGTTCAAACATGAACCTATTGAGCCCAGTGTGTGCTGCAGTTTCTGGTGCTTTTCTGTGATTAATTTGTCTCTCTGCCAACTAGACTGTTACTGCATAATCCCTAACTCTTTCGTCTAATCCTATTTACAACACTAAATACAGGCCAACTGCAAGTAACTGATCTAGAAAAATTCTCTCAAGTAATTTCTTCAGAGATGATTCCTTGACATGCCATCTACTCTTCTGTCTCTTCCTCTAAATTCTTAAATTGGCATTATAAAATGTCTGAGTAATGGTGGGTATGATATTAAAGGCCAGGCAGGGGATAAATTTGCTCTGAAAAGGTGCTTTCTGAGATAATTAACTGAAGGAAAACTGCCTCAGAAGCTCAGAATTATGTTTGTTAATTCCCAAACTGTAGGGAAATCAGTCCATTAGGTTCACATACTAGGTTTGGGTTAGAAAACATGAATTTGTAAAGCTTGTTGTGCATGGCTGTCAAAATGTTTTAGATATCAATAACAGAAATTAAAAGCTTAATGATTGCAAGCATTACCACTTAATAAACCTTAGAAGGCGACCACTTTTGTTGCTTACCTGTTAACCCCATCATACTAATTTGGAGGATTTTAGTGGTATTTTTTTAATTTTTATTTTGACATCCACCTTGAGAAAAATAATTATGTCCACCCACATCTTCCCACTGCAACAAATTCAACTCAAATCAGTTGCTGGTTCTTGTACTTCTACAGAGCTAATCATAAAATGTACGACACTGCCAAGCCTATAGTTGGATAGGCAGCTGGGACCCTGCTTTTGAGCTTTCAAGCCGAGTACACAAGATACAGCAGGGACTGCAGGCATGACAGGAGCTTCAGTATTAGTAGATTAGGTGTTTTATACCTCATTTTGGTGAAACAAGTACCAAAACTGTGAAACGATGAGTCTACCAGATACACCATTTGTATTCAAGTGTAATGATGTTATATAGCAAAAATCCCGGTGTTAGAGTTACATTAACTTCAACTGAGGTATCTGACAATATCATTCTTGGTGGATACAGATCCTGTCTCAAAGAACACAACAGGGATGAAGGAACTTTAGCTGTGATTTAATATTAAGGATTGTGCAGTAATCAGGAATATAACCAGGTTTCCCCTTCTTACTTTGTATCTCTGTGCTTTTATCTTTGCCTGTAAATGGAGCTTATTAGTATTTCCCTCTCTGAAGGAGTTTTGAAAAGCATAGCAAAGGAATAAAACTGTCTAAGCAGTTCTATCAGTGCAGTAACTTCATTACAGTGTGTCTGCAGTTTGCAGGTTGGATTCTTCTCTCACCTAATGCAGGGTATGACTTGTGGTCTCTTGTTACCATGCAGATTTTTTTGAAGAATTGTTTTGTATGCTGCTCAATACACAGAACAAATAGCTAAAGTAACATATATTTTGGATAATAGATTTATGAAATTCCCAATGCCTATTACAAAAATGGTGAGCATTGTTTTAAATTCACAAGACTAAAATTTGAGTATGATCCAGTACTATTGAGCTTGGTCACAAGGTTTTCCAAGTACTAAAAAAAAGTACTTTTCAAAGAGAACGAGTTTATGAAATCAAACTTACTTCAGCATGGCACCTGGAGACCTAATGTCTTTAATTTCTGTAAGAAGCTGTATTCCTTGTCTTGTCCTTCCTTTTTCTGTAGTGCAGAAGAATTCTTTGGAAAGTTAATATTTGTATGCTGACTATGCTCCCAATTGGTTATTTTGTAGGAATTGGAGCCTGTAAAGATTAAATCATTTCAGACCTGCCAACCTGAAAGCCTGTCCAAATCCTAATGCAGTATTGTAGTGGGTGTGATCTCCAGAGCAGCTCTAAGACTGAAAAATCTCCTTGGTTAGTGGAGAGTGGTGACAGGTTGGGTTCCATGATACACAGAAGGAAAAGCCACTGGACCCCTTGCCCCCTCCTTTGATGCTCATTTCTTAGGTCTGCAATGTGTGGCTAGTAGGGAAAAGGGACTTCGCATTCTTGTTATCCAGAAAAAGAAGAGAGGGGTTGAGAAATTTGTTATGTTTGGATGTTTTCCCTCAATAATTTTTGTCTGACCATTCCCCTGCAGGCTGACATTTTTTGAGGTGTTTATCCTTTACACTGGTGATTATGAGGCCCTGTTGTGGATGCTAAGATCTTGACCAAAATTTAATCCTCAAAGCTGAAATTGCGTGTGAGTTATTTGTCATTCAGACTCAAGCTTAAATATCAAATGCCAGCAATTTTTCCATTTCTGCAGAGTAGATGGGAAAGAACTAGTTGCAAGATTTAATGAGTTTCTCTGTCATATTCTTGAAATCCTTCAGTTCTACTATGCCTTGAAGCTTGAAGTTGTAGTTGGCAAGGTGGACTCTGGAAATCTGAGAGCGGTGTTTCCTGCCGCTGGAAAAATATTACACGATTCTGTTAACAGAGTTTGTTTAGGATTTTGTTTGCTTTTTTTCTGAAAACGCTGAAAAGTCTGGCCTCTTACTTGTTGTGTCACATGCACTGAGTGCTAAGTTCACATAATTCTCACTTCAGTGTTTCCACACTGACTGTACCTCACACATTTCATGGAGAACCACTGCAGCCCTTCTCCCACTCTCTGTTCCTGTGGGCTAAATTTAACTGATTAGCTTGGTCTGGAATCTGGCTGCACCTGACATTTAGGTCAGTTGATGGGACAGAAGCTGTGTTGCAGCTGTGCTATTTATCCATGAGGCCACCATGGCTTTGAAAGTAATCCAGCTGTAGGACATAATCCCCAGATATCTTGTAACATCTGTTTTACCAGTGCATGTGGCTGGATGTACTACTACCATACACTACACACTCTCACTCTGCTGTGTGTCTGCTGTGTGACCCAGCATGCTGTGTGACTCCAGCAGCCCAAATGCTGGAGTAGAAGACAGCAGCGAGGTTTACACTCAGCTACTCAGGTCTCCATGGCAAAAGCAAACTTTCACCCACAGAAGATGCAGTTTCATCCAAGGGCAGCTGAGTTCTAGTTCCTTACACTAAGTAGCACCAAGTCAGTGTACTGCATTGCCCAAAATGCAATTCCCCTTCTCCCTTCTCCTGCCCTTCACACAGTTAATGTTGCAGACTGTGTGCTTTCTGCTACAGGAGTCTTCCCTTGCTCTGGTCACAGCTCATGAGGCAGAGAGCTGCAAAACGGTACTGGGAGCTCTTCTGATTTGAAGCCCTGTGCTGAGGTCTTGCTGACTCCATTTCAACTTCATCTGTGCTGTTGGTTGCCATGGGATATTGGAAAAAGTAATTTTTGAAAATGCATGAGGGGGCAGCCCTATTTTTTGTCATTTCCTAACTTTGAATATTTGAATTCAACTCTCTGTGGGAGGAGGGCAGGCATCTTTTCTTAAAAGATAAATAAGTAGATCAAAATCTAAAAATGTGTTTTGGCTGTGAAATAAGCACCCTAGACATAACACAGAAATCACAATTCTTCCCACTGTTAGAGAGGTTTCTATATTTAGAGTTTCATATTTTTACTAGTCTTTGAAAGCTATTGTTAGAAGGATAAAATTAAATTAATCTATCAAAGAACCAGTGTTTAGCCTGTAAGAATAGGTCTATACAACCTCCATATTCTATGCTGCAAGCATAGAAGTTAAATTTATTGAAATTTATCTCCCATCTATTTCCCCATAAATGACTATAACCCACTATATGAAAGCAGTTTACTTGCAAAAAAAATAGCATCCTAAGGCATGTTTGCAGTGACTTCCAGAATTATTGGCAGTGGTACAATGGAACAAAAAAAGGAAGTGACATCTCTGAGCTAGATCTACAGGATGTCTGCAGGGAGATAGAAAATGTGTGTTTACAAAGAGCATCCTTCCCTTTAATTTTTGTGTTCCTTACCTGACTTGGAGACACATGAGTAATCAGTCAGTCCCAGAAGATGCACTTGAAGGGGTTAGCACTGCAGGATATGTGCTTTTAAATGCAAATATCGAAAGCAGCTTAAGGAGACCAAAGTAGGTTGCCTAAATTTGAGAGAGTGAACTGAATTAGTTTGTGAGCTTTGCAGTTTTGAAACTTGAGTTATCAGGCATTTCTCCTTGCTGCATTGCCATCAGATTCCCAGGATACATCCCCATTCTGCTCAGTGCAGAACTATGTTCAATTCACACTGTAGTTCTTATATAAAAGTGGTGCTATCCACAAGTTTTGAAACTGGAGTTCTATTGGCACAGATCCACTTTGTGACCTTGGAGAAACCACTGTACATTATTACATTATTAATATATTTGCAAAACTGGGACAATATTGCATCTCTGTCTCTTGGAGAATTTTAGATGAAAAAATTGTGCTTATGTACTATTGAAATTGAAGGTTGTAGAAATACCTAAAATAGTCTTCTTGGTAGTGAGAAGCTGACTATACTATCTGTGCTACAAAGAAATTTCAAAACAGGACTGTGAAGGAATAATTGCTTCCTGAAAGGTAATTTTTCTCAAGTGAAGAATATCTGGTAGTAGGAATACTGTAAGGTTTGCTATTCTTTACTATCCTCTCTTAAGTGTTTTGCAATAATCAAATTAGAATTTGGATTGAGGGTGGTATCATTATACTTTCTTGGGGGTCTGAGTACAGTTTCACTGTTCTATCCCATCCTTGTTGAACTCAGCTAAGAAAGCTTAAGTTGATTTCACAGTGTGAGCAGGGTGCAACCACATTTTAAAGGTGCACCCAATTTATTTGTGAGCCTTGGAAAATCTAGCTGACTTCAAAGTTAAATCACTTCAAGGCTCAGCTTATGCATTTCATAGCTGTGTCAGAACAATAATGAAAAGTTGCAATGGTATATATTGCATGTTTACTGAAGTCAAACTTCCATTGAGTTCTTGGATTTGGAGGGGAACTAAAAGGTCTGAACCATGTCTAAGAATGGGATCCTAAATTAATTTAGGATTATTTTGTTCCATGAGAGAGTCTGAACATCAATAGAAGAAACAATGAAATAAAGCTTACAGCTAGTTAGCTATGATCATAAAGTGCTCAAGACCTTTTTAGTGATCTTGCTCCAGACTGAATGAGGATACAGTGAACTGGCTGCACTATATAGGGCTGCCCAGTGTTGGTTTGCTCAGCAGGAGAAGAGAGAATATGTAATTCCATTCAGCATTTTTAGCAAAAATATGCATATGAATGGAATGCTGAAAAGAGAAATTAAATTATGATTAGCAAAACAAATGCTTTTCCAATGTATGCAGGGTTTGTGGGTAAAAAATTAGAGTTACATGGTTTAGGATTTAGTAGGGCTCAGAGATTCATGTAGATAGTAAGTATATAATTATTAGCTTTTGAAGGAATGTCAAAAAAGAGTCCATTTATAAATAATATAAGCCCTTGTGGCTTGGCCAAAATGAAGTCTCAGTTTAATTCCAGCTAAATCTGGGATCTTCCTGTAAGCATGTTACCATACATAAGTAATGAAGGATTTCCTATCCATCCCATGAAGAGCCTTCTAATAATTGCTTCCTCAGGTGCATTGATTGCCTTGACAGTATACCAGAATGCTGGTCCCAACATAAAAATCACTCAGCCTTTTCTTATTTTATCATATCTAGATGAAAACTTCAGTTACTTACTTTATTTTTTAAGAGCAAGGAAGAACAAGAGCACTTCATTAGTGGTTATCCTGAGCTGGAAGTCAAGGTGCTGTGTTGTGCCGTAGGTTCTGGTTAGCAGTAGAAGACCTGAAGAAGAGGCCAATCCGTGAAGTTCCTGCTCGCGTCCAAGAAATCTGGCAAGAATTTCTTGCTCCAGGTGCACCCAGCGCTATCAACCTAGATTCAAAAAGTTATGACAAAACCACTCAGAATGTGAAGGAACCTGGAAGATACACATTTGAAGATGCTCAGGTCAGTTTGCAGTTGTGTTTATGGACATTGGAAAAGGAATATTGGCTAGTGAAATCTATATACAAAAATGATATGTATTTGGGAATTGAATGATAATTAATGTTTTCTGTTTCCTAAAACACCATTTTGGCAATGCAAATGTGTAACTTTCTTACTTTCATGAGGCATAAGAAGTTCTTAATGAAACTTCTGTGCTTGAAATGGAGTTTTCAAGGGGACTTTGAATAGAGGAAAGAATATAGTGAAGAAAAAATTAAATACTTTTGTATTAAATGCAACACTTCATGTGACTTATAACTTAGTATTTCATCTTTGAAGACTTCTGAGAAAAGCAATAGAAAATAATTGGATCCACAGTAAAAGTAGCAGAACTGGTATCATCCTCCATTTTCATCAGCAGCCCAGTGATGAAAATTTAATTATTAATGCAAAGTGAAATGGTGTCAGAAGGAGAGACTGAGATCATATCCCTGCAGAATTTCCTGCATCTTGATTATTAGGTCATCATCTTGAGAGCTGCTAATGGCCCCATGAAGGAGAGAAGGGAATTGAATTGAGGCTTTCCACTTTTTGGGAGAATGCCTCTTCCCTAAATAGGAAGTGGAACAATTTTACCTCCTTTTCATTTTTCCATTATGAGACTGGCAACCTATGAGGAAACAATAAAATTTTCATTAGACTCTATGAAATAGCCACTATTTTGTAGTTCTCTGCATTAAACTAAACATACAGGTTTTACTTGCGTCTGCTGACCCCTGAAGATTTAAGAATGCAGTGTATAGCAAAGACATAAGCGGCAAAAGTAAACAACAGAGCAAGATTGAAGGTTTTAAAAAAATATGTCTTTGCAGTAGAGTGACTAATGGACATTTAAATTCTTTGCCAGTATTATTTATGGTTTTTTTAATACATAGTAAGTGTAAAATTTCAATACCCTTTTACTGCCAGATTTATCTTGTAATTTTGTTCTTCATTTATAAAAGACTTGGAGTATTCAGTATTTATGCAATCAGGACTTTGCCACCTGGAGAGGACCTCTGCTTAGTTCATCAAGTTCAGCAAAAAACCTTAAACCTGGAAGCCTTAATTTCTCTGGAAAAAGGACAGGCTGCTCCTGCTGTGTTCTCACTTGAAGCTTCAGGAGCTTTAAAGTGTCCTGTCTGAGGTGAAGGGTTTTGTCAGGATTAGGGCTCTGCCTCTGCAACATGCTTTTTTTGACCTGGCAGCTGGGAAGGAGACTGCTGGTGTGCCATTCTGGCAGCTGGTGGGTCATTTAACTGTTGTTAAAAACGTATGGAAAGCATTTCTGGACTGGAAATACTGAAAGATGAAACTCCATGTCAAATGCAGACACATAAGTAAAATGGGACATGTATGTAAAAATAGCCTGATTGCACTAAATATGTGCATTAACGTGTCCTGGCTAATGTGTACAATAACAATAATGCAGCCCAATTTATTCTTGCTTTTACTTATACAGAAATTAAATTTTAATGCCTATCACCACTTTTTGCTCTCTGTTTAACTGCATTCATTGTCTGCTTTCACAGACACTGAGTGAAAAAAAACTTGCTCCAAATAAACCAGTCTAAGTTCTGAATGTACATCAGAATTTCTCTGCTTAGTGTAAGAAATACGATGAAACACATTTAGAATAATTTTTATGGTTTTTAATACAGAAAAAATTAAATATCACTTCTAATTTTACCTTGCCTTAATTTTCAGACAAGGTGTGGGGAGTTTTGCTTGAGGTTTTTTTGTTTGTTTTTTGGGGGGTTTTTTTGTGCTCACTAATTTTATGCACTATCAAGCTGAGAAACAGTATTTTCTTTCTAGTTTGTTTGCTGTTTCCCAATTTCTGGGCTACAGGTTTCCTACAGTAAAAAATACAATTTGAGTAAAAGAAAAACTCCATGAAGATAGCTAACATGATTCAGGATTTTTAAAAAATATTTTTGGGAGTGTTTTATATTCTGGTTGCTTTTTCTACAAATCTTTAGCATATAATCAGAACTAGAATTATCAAGTGTTCTACATCACAGGTTTTTTTGTTTCTCATCTTTTTCAGAAATTAGAATGTTTCAAAATTAAATGTTTTTTAAGCTGCACGTGTCATTTATTTTTTGAATGAAGGTTTCCAAATTTTCATAATCCTCTGAAGAATTAATATTTTGAGAATTAGATTAGCCTGGAACAGTTTTTCAATTTACATATGTATTTTCCTTTTTATATTGTTTGCTGGAGAGCAGACTAAACATCTGTCAAAGGATGTTTTCAAGAGCAGCCAGGGGAAATCCTCAGTAGCCTAAGCATTATATGTGGCGCTGAATTGAAAACCTAGTACCTCTACCTAGCCTCTGAAATCACAAGAGTAATCCAGAAACTAATTCAGAAAATCTGATGAGGAAGGACCCACAGCTCTTAATGTCATCACTTAGCTAAACTAACAAGTAAGGGGTCTGAAGCTAGGACTCAGTTGTCAATTCTCAGAAAATAATTTTGTACTGGAAAATTTGGTCTATAAATTAAAGATAGGCGTGTTGTATAATTATACATAAGAAATGGGTGGGATTTTGGCTTTAAGAATAGAAAGCAATTAAGCCTTAGCTTCAGAGCTGAAACCTGCTCTCCTCTAATACTTCCTATTCATAATAGTGCTAGCTGGTGTACATTCCACAGCCAAAACATGTGGCTGCCTCCCATTTTACATGTGTCCTCTTCTCTGGGAGTAATTGCTCCTCTTTTCCTTTTCAGGAGCACATTTACAAACTGATGAAAAGTGATTCTTATCCTCGTTTTATACGATCCAGTGCCTACCAGGAGCTGCTACAGGCCAAGAAAAAGGTATTGGTCCATCTTGCCTTTGTCTTGCCACTGTGCAAAGCAGTGGTTATGTTTGCAACAATACTCAGTCTTCTCTCCCCTGTGCCAGTGCAACTGGATATCTGGTAGGTGACCAGCTTGGCGTTTTTGGAGGGTCACATACACACAGGAGTTCAATATACATATATGTGTATATATCCTGCATGCGGGCATGTTTCAATAAGTTAATCTAGCAAAACTTATTTTTATTTTTACATCCCATATTGTACTGTTTTTCTCTGTTATGAAGCACCTTAAATTGCAAAGTGCTTTACAAATACATTAAAAAAAATAAAATAAAATCCCAGAAGAATAGTCTTTCATGTTTGCAAGTTTGGTTATGTAATAATTGTTGTTCTCTTTATTCCACCTATGAAAGCTACAGAATGTGTTTAGAAACAATCTTATTCATATGAATAACTTCTAACTTCAGCTATAAATATAGGGGCTTCCTAATTTTGTTTCTTTCCCTATTACTACATGAATAGTTTTGAGCAGGCTAGGAATCTGACTTGAAAGACTGATCATGTCACACTTTGGCAAACAGAGGTTCATGTCTTGTAATGCAATATTTTCTTAGAAAACTCCAGATTGTGGAATGGGTTCTGAATAGCCACAGCCCAGAGTATGTGGAGCAGCTTTTACAATGCAGATTTCCATGATGATAAATAATTCTCTTAGTGGGCTCTAAACAGTAATTTCCTAGAATCCGTTGGGAGCCCTGTGCCTTGCAAAATCAGGGCCTTGATTGTTATTGGAACAAGGTAGTTATTAACACCGTAGCGTTCTATTGTTAATAATGACAACCTAAAATTATCTGAAAGTACTGTGTGATTTTGTTTTTTGTTCAAACATTGATTTCTGAAGATCCAATATAGAGAGAGATGTTGAAAATACCAGAAAGCTTCAACTGTCCGTGTGAAGTCCTTAAGTTTGTGAATGTCAGTTCATTAACACAAGATGTGCACTTCATTATTTCTTTTTACTTTCAGTTTTTCTTTAAATTCAAACCAGTTTGATCCCCATGAAAAATTATTTTTGTCAAATACTATATGTTTTGCCCATCTTCTGTTTTGCCAAGTCCCATTACAGCCTCATACCTGTGTTTGCTTCCTGATTTATACAAACTTTGTTTTTCAGTCCACTGTTACATCAAACTTTCTTTTCTACTCCATTGTTCTTGCTTTTCTTTTCCCCCTCCTTTTTCTTTTTGTTTCTTTTGTTTTGTTTATTTCAAATTTAAGTTGGAAAACACTCTGGATCGTCGAACATCTTTTGAGAAATTCACACGCAATGTGGTAAGTTTGTTGCCTCGGAAGACTAGTAAGCCTGATGGGACGTCCTTCTCCCCTTCCCCTCACTGATCCCTACTCTCCCTTTTGCTTTTCTAATTTGATGGTTAAAAGTTTATTCATCACAGCTTGTGAATTTTCCTGGGAATGACAGCTTTATAATGTGCTTTCATTACAACCCCTCCTCCCCTAGTCCCTTTCCCACTGATCTCAATTGTCACACATGGAGGAATGGACCTTTGGGAGCCATGCTTTTTGCATTAGGAAGCATGAAATTAGTCACTTTTTTTTCCCCCCTATAATTTTAGTAAAAAATCTGTGAAAACGTGCTTGATGTTGTTTCTTTTTCTGGTGCCTTGTAAAATACTAAGTCTAAAACAGTTGAATACATTGGATTTCCATCCTATCTTCTTTTTATTTTACAAAAAAAGACTTTGTCCCCCTTTTTTTCAATTGGGCACAGGGAAAAAAAACAATAATATTCTTCCCATCTTCCTTAATGTCTAACAGCTTCTACAGGACCAAAGAATTCATGCAGTTTATGTGCAAAGGTTTGATTTGGATTCATTTTCATAACGCACTACAAGAACTGATTTTTTTTTTCTTTTCAGTGTATAACTTTCGAAAGCTATTTCTCAAAGACAGAAAAAAATGAAGGCTGGTGGATTTTGCCACCTGCCAAAAGATCCACTGATTTCATGATACTTGGGATTCTTTTTACTTATCCAGTTTCTTTGGGATTATTTTTTTTTTACATTGTGAAAATTCCAACTAAAGAATTCAACGCATTTATTTTTGTAGGGCAGAAACATCCCTATTTTTCCATGCCATAAAAACTGTACACCAACACTGAGGGCGAGCACTAACCTGTTATGAAAAGAGGTAGAAAGATCTTGGATTATACTCGAGTTTGTCTGCATTGTCTGTTGAATTGTGCAGGTGACGCTGCTGTGTGTGTGTGTGTGCGTGTGCGTCCGTGGCTTTTTCTGTGACCTGGTTAGTGGAGCTGTGTGTGTTGAAATGAACAATATGAGAGCTTTCAGCAAAGATCATGGTTTTTGTTTTTTCAGTTGCTAGGGAAGGAGAAGCAGTTGACAGAAACTGTCTCCCCTGCAATGAGGCTCAAGAGTATTGCCTCAAGTATTTAAAAAATACATTTATACTTTCCAGTAATCAAAAAAAGAAACAAACACAGTGAAAGTTTTGTGAGGCTGTGGGAATATCTCACTTTTAAAAACAAAACAGTAATTCTTTAACTACTTTTTTATAGGTAAAGGCTTCCTGTAATATGCTTTGAATCCACTGTAATCAGGAAGAAATTTGGATTCAATGGGACAAAGTCAGTAAAGGACTCTAAAAGTAAATAAACAGCCACAAAGGAATCTATCCCAATGTTTGAAACAAAAACCCCTATGTTTTGCATGGTGGTGTTGCCATAGCATGTTGCAGTGTGATTTGTGTGTTGTCTAAACAGGTCGGATCTATAAAACAACATTGTACATGATAGCACTATACATGATAATTGCATTATACTTCAGTAGGAAGTTCCATATTAATAAAAAGTCTGTAAAAGAGGGTGCATAGAGTTGGTAACATATCTGGGACCTCTGAGAGCCAGACTTTTTCCCAGTCCCAATGCCTGGCAGACTGCAATGCTACATTAATTCATACCATTTTGAGCAGCCCAGGTGTCAGAAATTGGCTGTGGTGAAAATTATGTAAACAGGTGGCCATGAGGGGGGAAAAAGCAAGCTGTAGGTAAAGGGGTCAGGAACACAGTGCAAAAAGGGAGGATGTGAAGACAAGACTGGGAGATGCTGAAATCCCTCCCAGAGCAGCCTTATGGATGAACCAGCAGTTCTGGGCACAAACACTGGAGCATTGTGCCCTGCAGCCATGCCCGATTTTCATCCTGCTTATCTCAGGGCAGAAGTACCAGAATAGCAGCATGCCAGAGATGCAGTGCAGGCCAAATAAACCAGCTGTGAACTAGAAATGGGAAAGAGGATTTCTGGACATTAGTAGTTCAGTAGAAGAGGGTTGTTTTTTTGTTTTTTTTCACAGAGAAAACTCTGAAATAAAGTCAGTGGTTTTGCTTTTTTTCCAACTATTACCTGTTAACCTGGGTGGAGTCTGTCAAGTCGGGTCAGGTATGAAAGAAAAATATGTCACTGCTTGATCTATAATCTCTATTAGACTGACAGCTCTGAAACTTGCAAATTAATCCAGAGTATCAGGATGCTCAAATGCAAACCTTTTTTCCAAGATGACTGAATTCATGTCACTCACTTCCTCAGGACCTCTTTCCACCAGACATCCTTGTTGTTCCACTTTTGTTCTTGGTTGTGATGAGTTTATAATATGTAACTATCTCTCTTGGTACAGTGGTTCCAAGCAGCAGGAATGAGGGAAAAATTTATAAGAATATTCTACAGTGTACTGATTAACTTGATAACTGTGAAGTGAGGGACTGTGGAATAGATCTGCTGATTAATACAGAAGATAGGTGTGAAAAGGGTCTTCGACAACCTGGATAAATGCTATCATCTCTGATTTAGTAGATGAAAATTATAGTTTCTCTTCTGTGATGGTTTGCAATATTTAGACTAATTTTCACTGGATTTCTTTCCTCAGTTATATAAAAGTGGGTTTGTATTAAACTAAATTAGACCTCATTTTTTTCCATTTGAAGTGTTTAATAAAAACTCAGTAACCCTGGCTATGTCTAGGGACTCAGTCTGAACAGATGGACTTGTAATTCATTTTCTGATTTGTTGACTCTAAGATGCTCCTGATCAATGTTAAACAGAATTAGGTTATACTTGCTACAGAAAGCATTTGTTAAACCAGAAAGTTTAGAAACTGTGGAGGGAAATTAGTCTGTACTATTTCATGAATTACATGGAAATAACCTATTATAATGAGTCATTATTTTAGTCTGATGGAGAAAAAATAGAAGTGGAGTTATACACTACGCTCAGCTCTGCATTTCTTTGACATTGAAGGGATTTCTTTCCAGAAAATTTTCAGTAAGTTGGTGCAGTTCATGAAAGGCCTAAATGCTCAGTTTAAAAACTGACTAATTAGCTGCTCTGTAGATTTTATAGTGCAAAATTGCTAATGCCTTCAGCTGCCTGCAGCAGAAAATATGGATAAAGTTATAAACAGGTCTGCGTTCACATAAAATATACAGAAGTAATAGCGAGCTGGCATTTGCTATATGTAATGTTTATTAGTGAACTCTTTAAAGTTTGTCTCTGAGCAGTAACCCCCGCTATCCTTGGTCTGCCTCACACTCCTGGGTACTGTGTGAAAATAAAGAGCACAGACACTTCAGCACTACTGGAATGAAGCCATCGAATACGTGAATTGCCTTGGACTAACACAGGCTACCATGTGTGTCACAGCTTTGAGTCAGAGGCACAGAGAGTAGTGACAATGTGCTCTGGGCTCCTCCCTGCCTGGCTCAGCCCTCAGCTTTCTCTTTGAGAATAATTAAAGTGCAGTCACCCACAGCTCCCCAAGGGACTAGGGAAGTTAAAGATCTAAGTCATGGAGCTGGAGGATCTCATTGCATGCTCAAGCAGTAGAGAGACTGAAATCAGCAGTTTCTGTGGCATTTTAAGAATTGAAATTCTTTTGAAGAATTCACGTGGGGGAAAAAAAACTATAAAAAAATCCCAAAAACTTAATCTCAGCAAATTTACCTCAAGTGCTATCTACATTACAGGGGGAAAAAGCAGGTGAATATACACTGGTAATGTTGATGGGAGCAAAGAGGTTCTTTAGGGAACAATTTTGTCTGTCATTTCTCACATGCATGCAGGACTTGTGACAGTGGCAGACTGAGTAAGACTCTGTGAGCCCCAGCCTGGTGCTTAGCTGCAATTACTGGTCTGGAACCCTCAAGATAAAGGGACCTGGTTTACAGGGGGAGAGAGTTAATTTAATTTCCACCCCAGACAAATTTTATTGTCCCACCAGGAACCAAGTTAGTGGGGCAAAAAGGAGTAGCCTCCCTCCTTAGAGCTGTGGGGGGAGACCCTCCATCCTCATGCACTGGTGCCATGACTTCAGACACCACCATCAGTGTTAGCATTTCATCTGTCACTGCACAGTTACACAGAACACAAAAAAGAGGTGCTTGTTGTACGTTTGTGAGGTCTTAAGAAAATACAGGTAGTACAAAACAGACCCAGTTCAGTTCATATATTAAACTAGAAGGCTATCAAATTATAATTATCTCCACTCATAACCTCGTAAACAAGACCCCATTTAAAAATTCTGAGTTTGAAACCATTATATCTTATATTAGCTGTATCCTTTCCAGCTTCTTCTCCCACTTAACTGGAAGAACTTGCTGACCAGAGTCCTCTGTTTCTTTCCCCCTCCAAACCAGTAACAATAGACCATTTCATGCAGGAGATGTGAAATGCGAAGGACATTGTACAGTGCACATTTTCACCAAGTTGCATTCCAATGTCACTTAACATGACATTGTGAATTATGGTCTAGAGATGGAAATTAAAACTCATAAAAGTAGCTTCCTCAGTTCTTAATCAGTGGGTCACAGACTTTCTAGATGTTTAAACAAGTGAAATGTTTTTTTATGTTAAAATCTATCCCTTTTGTAGAGCAACAAAGCAGATAAATAATCAATTTCATCTGTTAATTATGAAATTTTTCTAAATGAATAGGTAAAACTTGTGTACACAAGGCCCTACTGTGCCAGACCAAAACTCCATCTAGTCCTGAAAAACTGACGAGGGCATGATTTTTCTCAAGTATAACGTTGTCTAAGAAATTCAATGCAGTTTCAGCTGTGGAATCTCATTTTGAATTTACTTACAGGTTATTCCCAAAATTTAAACAAAAAAACAGCTAGTCAGAAGAAATATAAATTACAAAGCTACTTATTTGACAAAGAAGAACGTAAATAATAATTATTTGTAGAATTGAATGCCTTTTCCATTTTAGGAAGAGACGTCTTCACTTTTGAATAAAAAGAACAAATAAATAATTGGGCTTTTTATTTTGGCCTACTAATTAGTAAAAAAACCCCTTAGTTTTAGGAGTTAAGAATTATTAAGGACAAAATTATAAAGGATGTGCCAGTGAGGACTGGCCTCTTTGTGCTGTTCTGCAGTGACTGGAGCTAAGCTGCTGTGCTCTGTGCTGCAAGAGAGGAGCTTTGGAGTAACACTTGCACAAACAGGTTCATCCAAGTGAGGAGCCAGCACAGACTGGTCAGCTACTGGGCCAGTGTCTGCCATTTTCCAGCTGACAAACATTTTACCTGATTCTTAGGCCATTTTCAGGAATGAGAACTGCAGAGAGGTATGCAAACTTGAGGAGTCAGGCCCAGGAAAAACATACTAAAAATATTTTTTTTGTCAATCGGTCCCTTGGAAACATGCATTTCAAATGGTTATTCAAGTTCAAACTACCCCATCTGGCAGGAGGTTTGAAGTTAATCACAAATGAGAGCAGCTCATCAGTAAATGCAAAGTGCAGAAGGAGAAAGAAATGGATGCCGCTGGATTTGGAGTGAGCCAAAACAGGAAAGCAGTTGTTCAGCCACTGCCTCCCACTTCAGATCATTGCAGGAAACAGAACAGCCCTAATGAGAAGGGAACAAAGGGCTGCAAATCTCAGCCAGAGGCAGAAGGATTTCCCTGCACATGTAATCACTTATCACTACAGCTGTACTGACAACTTGCGCCCCAAATTCAGTAAACACTAACCTTGTCCCCTTCCTCACATCTGAAAGAGAAATACACCTGCACAGATGGCTGACAGCAGCATCCTGTGCTGCTGTGGAAGCTGAAGCACAATTCTGAACCCCAGAGCAACACGGAAACAATTCCCTTGTGCTGGTAGAGCAAGGGTTGCTTCAACACAAAAAGGGATTTACTGCTTCTTCTCCCATGTCTCTCCAGATGTGCTCCTGTCAGGGGCTCTTTACACACCAGCTCTGTGTGTAGTGCACTGCAATGTCACCCTGCTGATCTGGATGGGCTGACAGTGTGCTGCAGGTGTTTCACACGTGAGCAGATGGGTAACACTGAGACCAAGGAGGGCTGCTTCTCACTCCACATCTCATTTTGCTCACAGTGGGACACTACCTCTCTTTCCTCAACAGATGCATGGAGTTCTCTTTTCTAGTACTACCAGTATAGGTCCTGGGGAGTAGCACCTGCACTGGCAATAAAGAAATATGGAAAAGGAACAGTTGAGGTTTCTTTGCAGAAAGGAAGATAATTAATCTTCTAAAAGGAAAAGATGTGATCTTTCTGTACCACACATTTCAACTCCAATGCCTATAGACATTTCATATTGATTTCTTTTAAGCCACGTATGTACAGTGGTTGTTGCTGACATTTTTGCTGGATTATTTGAGGTGTTAGTGTCATGCTGCATAAATGGGTCAGTCAGCACAACTGTATTTAGCAGCATCTGCACATAGCTTTACAGTTTTGCCCCTTAAATTTGCTAGAAGTAAAGCTGGAAGGCAGTTCTAGGTCAAGCAGTTAGTATGTTCAAATAGGGACTGAATACTGACGCCAAGTGATTTTGTACTTTAGATGTAGTTGTTCACTCCAGCTGCTGTGCTGCCTTCTCATACTCTGATTCTCTTGTCAGGCTATGTGTGCAGTGTTCCATTTTGGCATTTGCATTACTAGTAAAATACTTAAATATTTACAATTGTTATGTCCAAACAGCACTAATACAGCCAAAAAAATCCTAATCATCTTTAGAATTTGCCCATATGCTTCTAAATGTTGATGGCAAGAATATATTGAAAATATTAAGGATCTCCTTTTCATTATTCAGATAAACATCTACTACTTCTGTTTTTTCCACCCCTAATTTTCTTTAATCTCATTAGCACAGGAAACATCTTCATATGCTACAACTTTGAAAACTGGCCTGTTAGATGCAGGTTCCCAAATCAAAATGTGGCTTATGGAAATGCTGTTAACAAGGTATCTGAAAGAAATGGCAGCTATTAAATTATGACCCACAATAGATGATCCTTGTATCAGTAAATATAGTCTGCAAATTAAGTAAATCTGGAAATCTCCTACAAACAGTAATTATGAAACCATACCACAGAGAACTAAAGCAAAAGTATACTCTAGAACAGAGTTTTAACGAAATAGTTTGTAAAGTGGAAAATAACAAGTCCCTGCAGATCTAATAAGAAGATGTGATAATTCCGTATCTGGGGCTGCAGTGGATTCTGTGTATTAAAAGCTTATTTTCCTAATCAGAGAACTTAATATGATTCAGTGTAAGCATTTAAGAAGATCTCTTAAGGAGGGTGGATCTTCTAAGTTGTCACTTTTCCAACTTAGTGATAAATTAGAACTACTGATGCATGGAAAAAGACCATTTGTTGTTGTTGGTTTGTTAAGATGGAGGTTTCTCTGAGGCAGGGAGTTGAAGGAGGGGACCATCCAGAGAGTTCCTGATCACTGTAGGGCTTTGGAGAAAAAAAATATTCAAGGATCAGTAATATCCAGGGAACAAGTTATGTGGAGTGCAGAAAAAAATTATCATGACAGCTCACTGTGTCTCTAGGGGAAAATTCAATCAATATCTAGAAAATTACCACACAAACCAGATCAGCTCATAACTACTTTTTGGCCTGATTTTATGTCAGCACTTCCTAGTTTATGTGATAACATAATTTATTCCTGAGATGCTAGAATTTGTTTATGGTTCATCTAGAAATTCCAGAAATTTTGAAACTCCTAAATAGTAGTTGCAAATAATACTAAAAAACAATTATTTCACAGATTTTTGTGCCACAACACGCATTTATGCAGCTTTCAAATGGAGTATGGAGCAAATTGTAACTAATCGAGAACTCCCAATATTTTCTGAGATTGTGTCCAGCACCAAAAGTCATGAATTGTCTAACAAAACATTAATTTTGGAAATTATTCTATTGTCTTAAATTGTATTCCAAGGCCACACTGCCATTGAGGCTTTTTTGACTATTTAAAAAGAAAAGATACCTTACTATAACAGTTTACCTGCTGCATTAGAGGAAGACATAATTTAAGGGTTAAAAAAGTATCAAGAATCTGTGAATTTAGTATAGGTAGAAAGTGGCAGATACAGGGAAGACAGAGTGCCAGGAGAGAGACTTTTCATCTTTCAAAGAAGTAGGAATTAGTACTGTCAGGTGATATGAGGAACCTGATGGATGAGCAGTCTAACCCAACATTGCAAATCATGAGTTCCCTTTCAAATTATGTTGTAGGGGAAGTATTCATCCTAATTTGTTCAACTTGCATTTCACAGCACAAAGAATAAAATAGTTACTCTTCCTTTTATGAAGAACCACTCAGATGTATTGCATTTGAGCAAATGCTCAAGACACACTTACAGATCCCTGTGAGCTTAAATTTAATTGATAATGACAATAGAAATTAAATTGTGTAATTCCACTGAGTTATAACAGTGCAGATGACTTATGGCAGAATAAGTTCATTTACCACTTACTGCAGAGAATGAAGCATCTCTTGATAGTTACAGTATTTTTTACTGTATTGTCCTTGAAATCAGTTTGATATTTCTGAATTGGGCACTTAAAATGAACAATATAATAAGTGTAAGTATTAAATATCTAACTGTTGAGTTAGATCCATTTTCTATTTAATGTTTTATGATATATTTGTGTTACATTGTCAGGGTATGCCTGTGATGTCAGCTTGCTGTGCCAGCTCTGCCTCTGTTGGATCAGAGCCACAGTGGGATGGCCCTTGGAGAGCTAACTCCTTTTATGTGGCCGTAGGAGAGCTAATTCCTGTTCTGTGGTTTCTGTCTGGCTCAGATGAAGCTCAAAATATACCAGAGTGACATACCTTCCACCATCTTCTTCACACTGTAGACCTAGCTCTTGTGAGACAGTCATTACACCTTATTAAAAGAACTTGTTAAAAAAATTGAAACCACATCCTTGCAACAGGAGGAATAATGAGGAAAACAACAATATGGAAATCCAGCACCTTCAAAGCAGTGTTATGCAGTCACATGTAATATACCTGACCAATGTTCCTTTTAAATAGTAAATACGGTCTCAGCAAACCTACAGCTGTGTTCATGGAAAAGCTGCTTTCCTACCTATGTGCAATCTGCCTCTCACTTTCTTACCTGAACTTGAAAGTAGCTTTTTTGTCCTCTGTGACAGAGCTACTGCAGTTTGCACGTTCATCTTTGCAGCACAAGGCACTCTTGCTTGTGGTAGCCTTCAAGTTCTGGCTGTGACTGACGGCAAAAACCTCAGCATCAGTTTCTCATCAGCCAAAACCAATCTCATTAAAAAACGGCCTATAAATTTGCTGGCTTGTTCTGTGAAACAATCTGGCTGGCTGGCAGTGCAGGTGTTTAAGTGTAAGGACTTCCTGTGGTTTAAGATTTGACAGACTCCAGTTGGTGCCCCTAGTTATTTGAGAGTGATGTGGCAACACTGAGTGGTTGCTGATGAACAGGTTTGCAGTGATCATGCCTCTGTTTTCTGTTTTTGTTTTTTGTTTTTATCTTTTCCTCAGGGGAAATCGCTCACATCAAAGAGGTTAACCAGTCTAGTGCAGTCCTACTAAAAGGATCACCTTGTAGCATGGAAGCAGACTCAAATCATTATACATACTTTGTAGCTCACTGATTGCCTGACTCAGAGGACAGTAGAACAAGATGTTGCATGAGCAAGGACCTGACTTGTTTTCTTTTGTGTATACTAAGGCATTACAGACTCCGAGGGACTCTCTAGCCTTTCGATGCCTCCATTTCGAAAACTGTCTGCTCACTTCCTCCTTCATATCAAGCTGGATCTGTGTCTTTTTATTTTCTGCAAGCTCAAGTACAGTGAAAAAAAAGCTTCTGCTAGGCACAGTTTATTAAAAAAATACGTCAATCAAAAACTGGAAGAAATGTAAAAAATGCATATATTAATAAATATACATATGGCATCACATTTATTGCACAATAAATTAGCACAGAAGGTTTCATTTCACTGATGTATTCACATTGAGAAAGAAAGCCTGTGTCTTTGTCTGTTGTCTGTATATTCTCTGTTAATGTTTCTTGCATTTATTTTTATACCATATTTAAAAAAGAACACCTTTTACTCCAGATGTATTAAAGTTGATCCTTTCTCTGTAAATTTGTGTATGTTTATATTGTTGTTTTATCTTTCATTAAAAGATGCAGAATCTCTTTCCTTTGGGAAGTTTGAGATTTTAATATTGAATCAGAAGATTAGTCAAGAGCAAAATGATCCCCAAAAGTTACACACCTTGTGCTTTCTAAAAAGTGACATGAAATGGCATTTTCTTTCTCTCAGTGACACCTAATCAAACACACTTTATTGATAATCATTTACTTTTTCTTTTCTTTTTATCAAGCTAGCAGCAGAGAGACCTTTCCCGCTTGCTCATCATTGCATAAGCAAACCTTTCTTTAAGCTGGGCCGTTCTGGGGCAGTGCAGCCTGCACAGCCATTCGGTCACTGGCCCAGGCTGGCCGGACTGGACTGCCCTTCCTTGGGAATGGACATGAACAAAGCTGCCTGAGAGCGCAAGGGTATGCTTGCTAAAGAGGAAGGACAGTGCCTTTTCTCCTTGCTGTCACTTGTGATGCAAGGCAACATTTTAAGCTGAAAAGGTAGTGGTTTGGGAGTGCTAAGTATGCACTGGTCTGGTAGCAATGCAGCAGGAGGCTGTCATTTGAGTTCCAGCTCTCTGTTCGGGGATGCTGTTGTGTTCCACCGCTGAGCTTACTCACACAGAGACCTGTTGACAGATTTATGAGCATGTGTTGATGTTGCCCGTGAGACAGTAGATATGGAGCTTCTGAAGCTAATCTGAGCTGGAACCAGAAATCTGCTTGGTCTAAGAAACAGCACTGTCGACTGATAGAGGTGATGTAAGGATAGTAGACAGAATCTCAGAGAACAAAAGAAAGGATGGAAACTAAGTCAAATTACAAAATGCTGATACCTCCAGAGCATGGTAGGGTGCACAGGACAAACAAACCTTTTTAGCAATGCACAGAATAGATTCAGGACAGCCAACTTTACTACCATCTGTCATGCTGACTTTGGTTTGATATTGAGAATCTTGTTTCAAAGGGACTGTGAATCCTAAACATGCACACACAAAGTGGGATGGTCATGGATACAAGCAGACAATCAACTTGATTGCCTTAATACCAGAGACATCTCATTGAGCACTGGAAACCACCTGCACTGGTGCCATTAGGGACAGGACTGTTGCACACAGCAGCTCTGGGCAGAAGGGAGCTGAGCTGCCTTCTGCAGGGAACACTCACTTCTCCATTGGCTCTGTCAGTAGCCTGGTGCAGCCATAACCAGGAATGCAGCATCTTTAAAGAGGCACTCTGAGTGAACCCAGTACGAAATGCATTACAAATCCATGAAGGGCTGTTAGGGCTGTTGCCCATATTCTGCTCAGTTGAGGTTTCTTGAGGTTTGGGATTTCTGTTTGTTCATTGTTTTCACATGCCACTGTGTTTCTGGTTTCTAGCTAGGAGTACAATTACTGCTTTAAAGTGTCTCTGTTTTTGTTATCACAGTTCTACTAAGCTTTTAGGGAAATAGCCCATCAGAGCTGAGTCCTACCAAGATCTTAGCAAGAGGTCCATGCAGGTCAACTCAAAATACTCACAGCCTAGGGAGGTCAGATGAATTTTAGTAAGTAACCACACTGAATCACAGATCTTAAACTGAGATTTAATTTTACCACAGAAATGTGATCTCTGAGACATGAGCTTGGGGCCAGGCAATCCACAGAAATTTGAGCTCTGCTTCACTTCTCAGTGCCAAATAGAGATATTTATTTCCAAACTCCTGCTGCCACCAATTGCATCAACTGGTATATTTCCTCCTTTGCCTTAGTAGTTAACTACTTACATACCACTGTCTGCTTCAAAGAATCACTTCCATCAAATACCTAATGTTTCAAATTCCAGCATTAGGCATTACATGCAACTTCATCCTAAGAAATGTATTTTATTTTTTTTTCCAGATCACTTTGCAACACCAACTGGGTAATAAAAAGTCATGAAGCATTTGTATTCCTGAACACATTCTGTACTTATTCTAGTTTTTTCCTGTCATGGTTTAACTCCAGCTGACAACTAAGTACCACACAGGCACTTGTTCACTCCCCCTACCTCCAGTGGGACTGGGAGGAAAAGAGGAAAAATGTAAAACCCATGGCCTAAGATAAGAAAAAATTACTAATTGAAACAATTTATATTAATAATAACAGCAATCTTAATGAAAAGGAGAGCAAGAGAGGAAGGAATAAAACCCTCTACCCAAGAAACAGAAGTGATGCACAATGCAATTGCTCACCAGCCACTAACCAATGCTCATCCCGCTGAACAGCAATTGGACCCTCTTTACCTGTTCCCAGTTTCTATACTGAGCATGGTGTTCTATGGTATGGAATATCCCTTTGGCCAGGTCAGGTCAGCTGTCCTCAGGATGCTCCTTGTCAGCTTCTTGTGCACCTGCTCCCTGGCAGAACCTGGGAAACTGGAAAGTCCTTCACTTAGGGTAACACCTATTCCACAACACTGAAAGCATCAGTGTCTTACCAACAGAATTCTCATGCTAAATACAAATCACCACACTGCACCAGCTACTAGGTAGAAAGTGAAATCTATCCCAGCCAAGTCCAGGACATTTTCAAATCTATCCCAGCCAAGTCCAGGACATTTTCTTTCAAGAACTATGAAGTCTGTATTGAATGTCTGTCTTTCCCTGTATCTGGATAGGATTTAACATTATGTCTCTAAAGTAAAACTAGGCATTACTAATAAGGATTTCAAAGTAGTCAGGAAGCTGTGTTAAGGTTTTGTTTGAGCTTGTTCCAAGTGATACAACTCCATTGTTCCATATGAGTGAACTTGGCACAAACAAAATCAACCCTACAACTAGATTATTTTTAAAAGGTTTATCTGCAATCTTCTGATACTTCACCTCATCACTGTCATCAGCCAGTGATACAATACTGGGACTGGAAACCCCAAGCTGGTATAATCTTCCTTTTGCTTCACCACAGAGGAAAGATAAATTTGTGTTTCCAAATTTGTACAAAGATCTACTTCAAGAATTAAGATCGTCTCAGACTAAGGCATGCTCGTACAATAACCAAACAGCTGCAGTATGATTTTGGTTACACAACAATTTACCAATTACGAATTTCAGTGAGGTCACAAATCTGCTGAGGAAAAAAGGACAAGGAGAGGAAATCAGTCTAAATGGACCATATTTCTTGTCTTCTAGGGAAAAGTCGTCAGTGCCTCCTGGCCCTGCCCAAGAAGCTTAAAACCCCCATGTGGGTTAATTGTATTAATTGTAATATTCCTTAAAAAAAACCTAGCTGGAGCTTGAGACTTTCATCTGAGGGTTGGGGTTCATCAGTCAGTCTCTTTCCCCAAACATCCTTGTACATAAAACAGCTCTGAAGCCTACAGGATACAGTGTTTGATGGTGATGCTGCACACTTCAGATGGTTTTGTGCTCCCAGATCAGCCTGTGAAGAAAAATGGCTGGTGGGAGAGACATAAAATACCTTGGCACCTACCTGACAACCACAAAATGTTCACCCATTCTTCTGTAGGAGGCAAGTAATAACAGTCCTTCAACCCTAGAAAACCAAAGACAGAAAAAAAGGGCCTTGCAATAGTGATGAGATAAATTGAAAAATGCTGAGCTGAAACAGTAGTGGAGACCAGCCAAAAACTAATGAGTTGAAGGTGAACACAGGACTGAGGAATGGGAATTAATTGTGGTGACCAGAACAGAACCGGCAAGGGAGGAGAACTGGAGAGCTGAATAATTAGGAGCAAGAGAGGCAGAATGCAGTTGGTGGATTGCCAGCCTGTTGGCCACAGCCATGCTGAGCTGGAATTAAAAAATCAGGCAAGATCAACTGTGACTGGCATCTTAAAACCCAACAACTATGTGTTTTTTTTTATCTACAAAGCAATACTGAATAATAATAAAATATTCAGGGTTGCCTTTTTCCAATTGCACCCCTAATATTGTCTGAAATCATGAGATATAAATGCCAGATAGTCTCCTAAGAAATAAAAAATAGAATGGCAACAACCAGTTCCAGAAAATAAAACCTATAGGAATTCATTTAGGATGTTATTTATAAAAAAAAAGTTAAAACCAAAGCAGACCATTAAGGTGGGGAAATGCTGGTTTTGATATGTAGCTAGAACTAGGAGTTAGAAAAGCCAATGATTTATTTGTGGCTCTTCCAATTATTTTTTTTTTATACATAGTGGGTAACAGCTCTTTGAATTTAGATTTTATAACTGACATATTTTTTATGTCTCCTCTAGCTAAAGATACCGTGCATAGAACTAACACTTGGCATATTATAGTAGGTGCATAACACTGGGCTTATTATAACAGGGGCATAAAACATAGGAATTTTGCTAAAAGAATTTTGATAGCTACAGGGATTTAAAGAAAATAAGGCTTTAATCCCAACATGTTCAAGGGAAATTACTGGCAAATTATTTGAACATATTCTGTGTCCACAATTCATTTAAGCAAGTTGCTAAGTGGTTGTGACTCACACCAGTCTGCCTTTTGATCTGACTATGCTGAACAGATTGCTTTAGTCTCCTGTGAATTGAAGATATGTTGAAGTCCCAATAAAAAAGAGGTGAAGGGGAAGAGAGGATGAGTTCTCTGAGGCTGAATTCCCCTCCTCATGCTGTTGCAGACCGTGGAGTCCTCAAGCCGCATGTGTACAATGCAAAGTGTTTTGTTTGTACAGACATCGACTTCAGGGGTGTAGAGTCTCTCCAGACAGTTATCTCTGAAACCACAAAGTTTTGTTTCCCCAATATCTAAACAGAATCTCCCTTGCTTTGATTTATCCCTTTATTTTTGACCAGGCTGCTGCAGTCACTACAATGTGTTCCCGACATAAATGGACATTGCAACATCGGTGTTCTCTGAAGTGTTGAGTGACTTTATTACTCTCCTCTGGGCCAAAGGTTCTTACAAATTTCTTGGAGGATGGTGCTTGCAGGACTCCCACCAGGGTTTTACAGGAGGAGGGCAGAGCATTATTGTTGTACTTCTGCCCATACACACAACTACAGGACTTGCCCTTCTTGCTGTAGATGGCCACTACTGAACTGTGCCAACTGATGTGACACAGTGA